CGACCCTTCCGCCCTCCCTCCAGACCGAAACTTCCCCCCCCCCTCCCCATGCTTGGGACTCCCCATCGTAACATCGTACCACGCACTCTGACCAGAGATTGCGCTGCAGTGCTAACCATTGAACTGCTGCAACTGCTCATTCTGTAAATAAACCGCTTTCTACCACTGCAGCAGTCCGATGGTTCGGAGAGGCTATTCCTACGTAGCGCGACGGAGTCGCCCGAGTTGCGGAGTATAAGCGCAGCCTAACCCGAAATTGAGCGCTTAGTGGACTGCTAGTCTTTCTTCAACCATGGAAGCTTCGCCCTCCTGGTACACACCATGGGGCCGAAGCACTGAATTAGGGCCGGAGTTTTTATAAAGATTAATTGACAGGTCGACGTGATGGCTTCGACTGTGAAAGGAGATGGGCCACGTGAAGAGACCAAGTTCGAATCCGGTGTTCCACCTGGTAAGATTTGCCACGTTTTGCAGGTTTCTCAGTTCAGAAGTGGCTCTTTTTTTTGAATTAGCTATCCTGCTAGGGTTTAGATATATGATGGAACATTGTGAGACTTAAAATTTTGGGGCAGGAAGCTAAAAATTTTCATTTTTTTCGGAGATCTTCAGCCTTTTCTGATACTTATTTTGAAGTTTGACATCGTTAGTTCACAAATAGTTAATACCGTCGCCATCAGGGGCGGTGTCAGAAAGCGTTGAATGATTCCGCCCGGCTGCCTTTTCTACCAGTAGTGGCGTGATTCAGTAGGAAAGCAATCACTTGGAGAAAATGCCGCGGTTGGGCTCAATCTTCTTGGCACCGCCCAGACTGATTGTGACGACATCAACTGAATTCAGTCAGACAGAATAGTAGTTATGGTCACAGATAATGAATCAAAGAAAAAAACTCACTTTAGAATTACCTGGCCGTCCAAGTTCTCTCACGTTATCGGATATTCGTGCGAGATCAGTTCTGCTCAGTTTCGTGCCGGGTTTCGATGGCCATACAGCTATTCGACAATGGATTGTTGAAGCAAAAGTGGCCGATTCCAGTGTTTTCCAGGTCATCTATAACGTAAGGTAAGTGCCGCGTCTAATATTGTCACTAGGTTTTCTTGCTGCAGGGGGGGGGGGTAGAAGGGTGCAGCGATCTTCAGATCGAGATGTGCCCCACTTGTTGGGAAAGGTGCACTTACATACGTCTTGGCGCGGTGCCAAGCTACTCCCGTCAATGGCCGCCTGCGCCATAGTGGCAAAGACGACTGGAAACGAGCTGGCGCCGCGCCGGAACGTGCGCCTCCTCATGTCGCACCTATAGCCGAGTTTCTTCAACAGTCTTTCAAAAGTGATACTTTCAGTGCTCCCAAAGCCCGATCAATCACGGTGGCTGGCCTGCGGCCATACACCCGCTATCAAATGCGTCTGATCGCAGAGAATGTCAGAGGACGGGGTGCACCAAGTGAACCGTCAATTGCGTTCGAGGTGAGGGTGCTACCGACATTTTCCCCTTCATGGAGACTGCTTTTCAGGGCACATTCCGCGATAACCGAATGGGCGGAGAGGCTGGCGAAGGTTCATTACCATTTTGTCTTCTTCACTGGTGCGCTTTCGACAGGGTAAAGAGTACGCGCCAACAAAAAAGTCACTATGGTTGTGAGCCCCTGCCCATTCGATTGTCGTGGAATGTGTCTTAAACACCTGTCAACTAATCATCCAGCTCTGATGCTGTGATATTGAGAAGTTTAAGCTTTGTTTTTAGACAAAACAGACGAATCCTGAAACGCCAACATCACGTCTTTTCGCCGAGCCACTTACGTCGACCTCATTGTCCTTTGTCGTGGACACCGTTGTTGGCGAATCAGTGGAATGGACAACCAAAGGGCTATTTAATCCTCTACAGAGAAAATGGTACCGAGCACTGGGTAAGTTATTACATTTGTGGCAAACTTGAAGAGTTGAGCGTTTTGTTTAAGAATGCTGACAGCTTTCACAGTAATGTTTTTTCTGTGGGAGGGGGAGGGGGGAGAGGAGGGCTTCCTCATTGGTCTCGCACGCTCTCTAACATTGTGGCTCACTGGGAAGAGCGTAGATGCTGAATTGATTCCACCCATACTATCAGCGTGGAATTGTGCATTTAAGCTTACCGTACTAGGAGCTTTTCCTCCAGGTCTTAGAAGGTAGTCGTAGTCGTAAGTCACTTCAGAAAAATTCAAATGTTTCACTTGTTTCACTTATATCGACTCCAAATCTTATGTAGGATACTTTCTGCAATGATGGGATCCTTTGAATGATATCCAATTATTAAGCATGAAATCCGGATACCTTCATTACGTGCCAGCGACTTCACCCTGCGTGATCTTCAACCGTACACGAGCTACGAAGTGCAACTTTTCGCAGAGAATATGTTCGGCCGGAGTGCGTCTTCTGGAACGTCGGAAGCAAGGTGAGAACTTACGGTCCTTGGTTTCCAGAGGCAATGTGCCTGACTGCCTTATTTAGGACCTACGAGGGCATTCCATCAGGAGCTCCTCGTAATGTGCGAGCAGATGTGGATAACAAAAGAGCGGTCATAGTGCGCTGGGATCCAGTCGATGAGGATCAAGCCAACGGCCATATAAGGGGCTATGAGGTTTGTTTGTTTGTTTGCACTTGCAGGAGGTTTTTTTTGGGAATTATCCTAAGAAGCTCTTCATTAGTACTATGGGTTCTATCGAAGAGAACCACATTTTCATGGGAATGTGGTAAATGGGAGGTATAAGACCAGGGACTTTCCGCCTGTTGCAGGAGAAGGTCATTTTTCCCTATCAAGGGGCCTAAAGCGTTCACTAGCGAAGTTACTTCCAAGGCTGGGAAATCGCTGGTGGATCTCAGGATGTTATTAAGCGTGAGAGGGACACACCTGTAAGCTTTTTCAGTGTGTTCTCCTTGTCCCTGCTTTTTCTTTTGTCTTTCCGACCTATTACCCTG